TGATATATCAATTTTTATAATTTTTCGGTAAACGGTAATTATGGACTGAACTTTTTCGTTTCCACTGTTTTAGATTGTGAAGTTAAACGACATTAAAGTAATGCAAATGAAATATTCTTTTTTGTGATATATCAATTTTTATAATTTTTCGGTAAACGGTAATTATGGACTGAACTTTTTCGTTTCCACTGTTTTAGATTGTGAAGTTAAACGACATTAAAGTAATGCAAATGAAATATTCTTTTTTGTGATATATCAATTTTTATAATTTTTCGGTAAACGGTAATTATGGACTGAACTTTTTCGTTTCCACTGTTTTAGATTGTGAAGTTAAACGACATTAAAGTAATGCAAATGAAATATTCTTTTTTGTGATATATCAATTTTTATAATTTTTCGGTAAACGGTAATTATGGACTGAACTTTTTCGTTTCCACTGTTTTAGATTGTGAAGTTAAACGACATTAAAGTAATGCAAATGAAATATTCTTTTTTGTGATATATCAATTTTTATAATTTTTCGGTAAACGGTAATTATGGACTGAACTTTTTCGTTTCCACTGTTTTAGATTGTGAAGTTAAACGACATTAAAGTAATGCAAATGAAATATTCTTTTTTGTGCTGCTTTTATAAACGACGTTACTTTATATCAAATATGGCTGGACACATGTTTCAGCTTCCGTACAAAGCACGCTCTCCTATGTGCGCGGCGCGCAAAATGTTAATAATTCGTCGTTCTTTCACCGCGCTTTTCACGTCAATTCGTTCTAAAATGCCCATCCTAACGATTCAAAGTGACAATGGAAGCGCTAGTAAAAGAAGACGAAAATAGTGCGGGCATGCACGGGATGATCATTGTTAGGCCTTGTTAAACTTAGTACGCTTGTCAAATTATAGACACGTGCATGCATGTATACGAAAATTTTAGAGCGTGATTAAAGGTTTCCACCATAGTTTCTTTAAGATTAAGTTCGACCGTGTTCGTTCAAGTCAAAGACTTTAAGAAGAAGAACGCGACATTGAAGATTATTCACGCGGAGGGAGAGAGATTCGAGAACAAGGTTGAGCAACTGAACACAAACTGAGTTCACACAGGCCGAATGAATGTCAGACCGTACTCAAATTTCTACGGTTTCGCGGTTTATCGCTTTCCTCCATGCATGACGCTCATGAAACCGGAAAAATTCGTGAAAACCTAACTGCACGAATGAATTATGTGAACAAGTGAAATCGGGCGAATTTGTGTGAACAGTCGTCTCAGTGTTTTAATTAAACAATTGTGTCAGATTGACCTTAAAGACCTTAAATTCAAGGTCGATGCGCGATAATAGTGAGCTTAAGCAAGTGACGTTTTTGACAACACGGACGGCATGAGTAACGTCAGAAGACTGGGTCAAGGGCTGTGATTGGTGAAAAACGTCAACTTTACTTCCGGTCGACGTCCGTGTTGTCAAAAACGTCACTTGCTTAAGCTCACTAATTCTGTATTTTATAACTCCGTATACGACTAAAACACGATAGCCGAGCACATGCATGTACGGTTTAATGAAGCGTAATTTTCGCATCACGAATCAATGAAGATTCTGTTTCATAGAACGGCCGAATAGAAAGGCGAAATTGCATGAAACACCCCCGAGAAAAGTGCGCAAAAGTTAGCACGATATTCATACAAACTATAGAACAATACGCATCACGCATCCAGCTATTTTGGGGATCAAATTTTAAGCATTCTAGAGGGGGTCAAACGTATTGATTTGTTATGTACAGTACTGCCCTCACTACGACGCAACATAAGCATAAACATAAGAATAAGAATACCAAAACGTTGCGTTCTTTTCCTTTTATGCTGATCGGCGGCTGTTGCTTTGTCTTTGAGCTTATGCTTGAGTTATCTTGCGTTAATTGTAGTGAAGACACAGTAAGAACAATTTACACCAGCTAGAAGTGAACGCCAAAGCGTTCCGCTTGCTTGTGATTTTAAGGAATAAAATTTAAAAACACTGTGTATAATATATGTAGTGTCTAAATTGGAATGAATGTTCAAGTATCTATTTTCTTAAATTAACTAGTAGCTACTTATGACACAACAACATACAGTAGACATTTATGCTAACAATAATTATTTTCCATTTTGTGGTCTTGCTACGAATAAAAGAATTCTCGGCAAACAAATTAAGCCAAAATGATACGGTAGAACATGAGCCAATTATAAGAGTTAATCCTTTTTTTCATTGTCTTCCGAAAACAAGATTGACCTTTATATACATCTGTCAACACAAATTACTCAACAAATACTACCTGACTGCTATAAAAAAATGATTGATATATCGTTCAAATATACCCATTCAGATAATAGGTATAGGTTTCAGTTAGCAATATCGTGGTGAGAAAATGTTATTTCTTTTCATATAATGTAGTAGTAGTCTTGTAGCTATTTGATGGCAAATAAATAGAATTGTGTGGTGTAGTTTAATTTGCTTAATTTTATCAGTGTCACGTTTACCACTATCTCATGCCCTTTGACTTTCAATAAAACCCACCCATAGGGCATAATGAGACATGGTTAAATGACAACAATATGGATTATTTTATACTTTGGCAATTTTGATACATTTTATTAATGTACGTAGCCTACATATTGCATAAATGCAATCTCAGAGGTTTCTAAGCTTGTTAGTAAATATAGTTACAATTTGTAACCGCCACAGGGAGCTAACATAAAAGCTAGTATAAGTTCAAAAAGATAGTAAGTTCCTAGCCATCTAGCCACTACTTAATATTTCCTGTTATTATAGTGTTAATTGTAATATACTTAGGCAAGTGTGTATAAAAAAATCAAATTTTAAAATCTTAGCTGCTGGCAACGGTTTTAATTAGAGTACTCATTTCTATTGAAGGTTTTTAATTCTCGCTTTTCATTACTACTATACTAAATAAATTCTCCCCTCTAATAGTCTATATCGGGAGAAACTTGTTTTTAAACTTTCTGGATTCCAAATAAAATACTTTTGTTTCTTAGGCTGATTGAACATGAAGTTTCTTTGTTTTGGGGTCTTATCTCTGCTACTGGCCAGCCGTGCTTTCGGTGTTAGCATTATCAAGGTTTGTTTTTAGGATTTTGTTTTTAGCCATGCATATGACTATTTAAAAAGGACATGGTGAGCATATATTGTACACCCTTTCTATAATTACGCCATTTGGCCTGGAAGCCTCGCTCTCATGAATCTTTAGCCAATCACCTTACGTAATTTACTAATGACAGCGAGGCTCCAGAACCAAAAAGTATGTGTGACGTAATTATCAAAAGGGTAATATCAATGGCGTGATTTTACCAAATAAGGCCATGAGAACACGAAAGAGCGGATTACAGTAAAAAGGTATTATAGCCTTTTTAGTGCGAAACGAAAATCCGACTTGTTGAGATAAAAAAACACTAGTTCAAATAAATAATTTAAATAATCTTTTAAATTTTGTCCCTGATTCGAGAATAGAGACCTTACGATTTAGGACGGCAACGGCTACCAATACAATAAATCATCGGAAAGGATTAAATAATTACAATATATGAATAATTTAGACGTTGTCCTACGCTCTGTTTACAACGCCAAATCACAGATTTTCACGTCTTGATACAACGGCTGCATTTGAAGCCGCAACAAGTGCAACTTCAAACTGGGTTCAGCAGAACTCTTCCCAAACATAAAACCCATGTCTTCAACTTCTAAGACTGTATTAAATTCATACGATTGATAATATATGACGAATTATCTTTACTGCCATTTATTTGAGGGAGTTTGTTTTGGTCGTCGTCCTCGCTTTGCCGTCCTAAAATCGATAAGGTCTTTCTAATAACGTTTCGAACACTCGAACAGTACTAGAGTAATAATAAATAATAAATAATTAAAAATAGAAATATTTTTAATTTATTACAGCGTATTCCAGTAGCGAAGGGCTACGATCCTGGTTCCTGTAAAAACGAAACTCATGGCAACGAGGTGTTGGTAAAAAATAGAGTTGATGAAGAAAAAATAGTTATCTGTGTGAAGGATAGAGGTGTTTATCAATGGAAGTCTACGGATGGTAAGTTATAAATAGCAGTTTGTTTAGGATGCAACCGCTTGTTAACATAAACCAAGTTCGTGTCGACTTTAGATAGGAGATGTAAAGTTTGTAGGTATTAAAATCATAGTCTATCAAGATATGATGGTCTAGAAAATAAACAGTAATCATTGGGCGATGTTTGTTTCTGCGTTTATGCTAATTTGTGCACAGTCATGGTGATTGAGTTCATTGTATTTGCGTATAATGAAGTAGTCGCCAAATTGGGGTAGCCGAGGTGAAAAGTACAACGACTATTATGATATTTTTGTTGAGACAAAGGACTTGTTCACGACGAGGTACAGTTCCACATCAAACAAAGGTCTTCTATTTTGTGACTTTGATGTGTGCCTGGATTTCAGACCATCATGTTTTGACAGACTATGATGAAAAACATGAGATCTCATAACCAAAATGATTAATCAAAGTGTAGTGAATGAATTTTGATCGAGAACGAGTCCTCCGATAAATAAAGTCAAACGCCGATAAATTAACTCAACAATATTAATGCTTTTGAAAATAACTCAACAATGGTCTTCGAAAATCATATTATTAGTCAAACATGCTTCCATGCAAAGTGCATTAACTCGCTTGGTTTAATTGACCAGAGTTTTTTTCCAAAAGGTTCACAAAATACAGTTGGTGAATTTTTCAACCCCGGTTATGATTGCGCTGACATTTTGAACAAACGTCAAGATGCTAAAGATGGATTTTATTGGATAACTTTAAAACTTTCAAATCCGAAAAAGGTAAGAATTTTTTTGTCAATTGAACAAGAACAAAACTAAAAAATAATAAAGTAATAAATAATAAAGAAATTAATAAATAAATAAATTATTAAATCAGTAATAAATTTACGTTGTGTTTCCACAAACAAAACTATTATATGTTTTATCGCCATGCAAACATACAAAGAACTTATTAAGAACAAAACTGTTTTTGTTCATTGGAGAGATTATTCAGATACAAATAGACTTGCACGGATGAGAATCGCCCTTTTTGAATATGGTGAGACAATTTTAATTAAAGTAAGAATAACCAAGAATTAACCGCACCTTCGCAGGTTCGATTTGGGCACTCGGAAACTGCACATTTTCCCCCAGCGAATTAATTTCCCAGCTTAAATTATAGAACGGGGTAATTACGCATTCAGTTTAACTACATAATTTAAAGGCCCCACGGCCTTCCGGGTGCATGGATCGATCATGAAGTGTATCTGACAAAGAATGATCAAAATTACTGTTATTTGATTACTTATCTCCAACCTCGTCCCCGGGGTCTTCTTCGTGGGTTTATATTACCCCCTCCTGCACAGGTGTTTATGAATTCCGAGAGGGCGGGAAAAATTGGGGAGGAAACGCGCGGGTGGCTTTTAATATTCGTACTCTCTGGGAAGGGGACTGAGAAATAAACAAAAAATATCAACAAGAAACGCCTGTAGAGGCAAGAAATGATTGCTAACTACGGTCTAAATTATGAACAGTATTCCATAGCATACTGCTCAAAATGTGTCGTGCTTCACGAGCTTCAGTGTGAGATTTCCTTTAAGATGTGGTGTGATATGACTACCGACGGCGGGGGGTATGCATTGATTGGCAGAATGAACACCTCGGTCACGTGGTCACTTCCATCCAATGATATTCCAGTTGGGCCATTCGGCGAACCACATTGGTCGAGCTCTGTTGGTGATGCACCAACTCTGGACTTTAGGGTGCAGATGGCTACGAAAGATGATTTTAAATCCACTATAGCACACTGGTGCGTACCAGCCACATTTAATTCATTTAGTAGGGTCTCCCTGATTGGTTAATCTATAGAATTAAAAAAGTCACATGATCCAGACATTTCTTAACAATTTTGAAAACTTTTGAAGATGTTGTCTATGTGCCTGAATGAAGACTAACGATGATATCTCATATGATTAAATTTGGCAACAGGTCCTTTAGATTACAATCGACACGTCCACTGAAAAATTTATTGACGACGACAGATGGATGTGATCAAAAATCTGCAGGAATTGGAAACATTGCCTACGTCAAAGATCTTCAAACTGAACGTATTGTTACAACAACATTGCGATGTTCAAAATTTGGTTTGGCGCATCATTCTTCATCACCATTTGGTTGGGTATGTATATGGTTGATGCATACATAATGCGTTAAATTAACAGTTTATTAAGGTAATCTTTATTTCTCCGAATGTTTGATATTTTTCAGCCCAAGATGAATTCATGTTTTGCGAAGTCATGTCCGTGGGGTTTTACATTTCTTGCGATTGGCAGTTATAGACGCCAATTAGACCATTATGGAGCTTTCAGGTATGATACATTCAATATGAGTTTGCTTATAATTAAACTACAGGGCCCGGTTATATAGAAGCCAGTTAGTTCTTTTATTTTTAGACAAAAATTTTATCAAGCTTTGTAAAATGCTCAAAAACTATAAGACTGCAAGGGTGGAACTCACAATTGATAATATAAGAAGAACGAATTTACGGATAGCTTGAAAATCTCTATCCGGTGAATTGTGTTGATTCGGCCTTCCTGGCCTCCCTGCGGAAGAATATCGGCCAGTTTCACTAACTGAGTTATGGAAAGCAGACAGTTGCAATTGGCCACCACAAGAAGAAATTACAGCTGCGTGTGAGAAAAACAACAAGATTTTAATTTGTCTATAAATATCGTTTGTTTTTCTCATCAGTTACAGCACAACTGGAAGTATATCGGGAATGGGAAACAATGCCACTGCTTTTGTTGGATGTGATAATCAAGTTGTAAGTATAAGTTACTATTTCGAAATCATTATTAAATCATCAAATCTATTAATACTACAATTATGTACAAGTCATGCTAGTATTTGTTAGCGGTTTACAAATATTAGAAATATTGGTAGAAAGTATTAAGTGATTTTTACTCAATTGTTCAAGTTTAGAAATGGTTTTATCGATATACATTTTGATAAATATTTTATATCTGTAACAGTTCTTCTTACAAAAAGTAATCAAAAGTCTCACCAGCAGCTACAAGGAAAACTGACTATCTTATATGCCAGCTAACGAACAAACAAACAAACAAACAAACAAACAAACAAACAAACAAACAAACAAACAAACAAACAAACAAACAAACAAACAAACAAACAAACAAACAAACAAACAGACAGACAGACAGACAGACAGACAGACAGACAGACAGACAGACAGACAGACAGACAGACAGACAGACAGACAGACAGACAGACAGACAGACAGACAGACAGACAGACAGACAGACAGACAGACAGACAGACAGACGGACAGACAGACAGACAGACAGACAGACAGACAGACAGACAGACAGACAGACAGACAGACAGACAGACAGACAGACAGACAGACAGACAGACAGACAGACAGACAGACAGACAGACAGACAGACAGACAGACAGACAGACAGACAGACAAATAAAATTTTCAAATAGTTCAATCAAATATTTTTATAATCATACAAAGTTGTCATAGATTTTTTAAACTTCTTTGCAGTGCTGTGCTTGTTACGGACCTGTGGGCGGAACGAAAGAATACTGTGCCGAAAATTGTCAAGCAATTAACGGTGGTACAGTCACAAAAAACGTATTTACGTGGTTCTGGGTCAGATCCAGTCTTCCTAAAAGATTGTGGGAGAAATGTATGGATTATGAAGTGAAACGAGATGATGGGAAATTGATCTGGTATAAGCTGGTTGGCCATAATGTTATTCCTATTGAGGTAATTTCTTTCTTTATTTTTGACATGATTGATCAATAAAACCTAGTGAGCTCTATATATATCTGGAGTGAGAACTCGAGTTCAAAAGGTAAAGCCGCGGCTTCGTGTTAACCGTGCAAATAAAAACAATAGAAAGGGCCTGAAAATGACGTCCAATAGCTTCTTCAATTCCGCCATCTTGGCAAGGATTGTTCCGAAATTTCCCATTTTGACATCGATTTAAGGAGTAACACTATAGTTTTAAAACTGTCAACTTGGTTAACGATACTATCCCTTAGAAAAAACTTGAATTAGCTTGGAAAAATGGTATTTAAACTGCTTACGACCTTCAGAGCTATTAGTCAATGGCCGCCATCTTGGCGTCACTTTTCTCATAGGCCGAATGACTGAAGTTCTTGCAAATATATCTGGAGCTCACTGTGTATCATGTATTTGTGAGCTCACAAATATATCTGGAGCTCACTGCAAATATATCTGGAGCTCACTCAGAGTGATGGGCGCATGTGATTTTAAACATCTTCCACCGGAGTTTGCATGATTCCTATAAGGCTGTCTCGTTGTAAATATAGTCTCACATAGTTCTTGTGGCTGTGAGAGAAGTGCTTTAGTTATTTTGATTCCACGGTTCCACCAAGCACCGAAGGTTTTCTCCTATGAAATAAACTTATATTGGACGTATTTAATAAGAAAAGGATCTCCCAATTCCTAAATAATTCAATTGCATTAAGTAAAAGTTATTTTATTACATCCAATTTACACGACCAGTTAATTTTTACAGAGTATGTATAAGTACTGTACATTTTCATAGGTAAAAATAGGTTGAACGTCAGATTAGTTAATACTTAATTGGCGGGAAAAAATGAATTTTTATAAAGAGGATTAACATAAATATAAAAGAGTTTGGCATCAAAACAATTCTGACAAAATCTATTAAAACCATTTGTTAAAGGGTCGCTGTAGCAAAGACGCAGTACTTCTTCATGACGGTGTAAGTATTTTGGCAACTTTTAATAAATAATTATTTATGATCACCAAGCATACACTGCTCGCAGACAGGGGCGAAACCTGAGGGGGGCATGGGGAGGTGTGCCCCCCCTCCCCCCCCAGAAAAAAAATCCCCGAATAATTCAGATTGGCAGGGCAATCAAAGTGCGAAAAATTCCAATAAAATTAAATAAATGACTATGAGTACAATTTTAAATGATAGAATGTAGAGTTATTAAGTAACTTATTACAGATGGCAAACAATAAGCAGTTCGTATGCATGTAACATTGGCATCGGCAGTTCAATTATACGTAGCGTAGCGTAATGATGTATTTTATTAGCGCTGGTGCTGCAGGCTGCAGGCTGCAGGCTGCAAGGCATCATTGGTTTTGGCAGGGCAATTCTGCCAGAAACCCACCTAATTAAAAGGGCCCAGTTTCGCACCTGCTCGCAGAACAAGATTACACAGGAGAGAATGACAATTAAAAGTAAACCAATAGTGTGCACAAGAGAGTGCTTTGTGCATCACAACATTTGCATGTATCTTAATTTGTTCTTTTTGGCAAATAATTGTTATATCATGGAATTAGTCGTGTGCTTCGCTGATTTGAAAATTTACTGCTGGCTGCCTTTCGGCAGTGCATGGTATTACAAACGGCTGCAAAGCAGAGCCAGATTTTTTGTGGTATTTGAAAAAAATAGTGCAAAATAACAATTCCAGATCACCTATTATTGCATAGTTAAGGAACATTGTCTATACTCTGTACCAATGCGTTAGAACTGTCTGGCGCTAGTCGATCAAAAGAGAAATAAAAGATTGCCGTTTGTGATTGAGAGCTTTCATTTCGACATATCTCCCAATTTGGGTGAATACTTAGCTACAGCACGCAAACGAATCTGCATAGTCGACGTTAATATCGTGCGACTGATTTAGTTTAGTTTAGTTAACGAGTTCACCATTAATGCACATGACAATGAAAAAAACCAGTAATTGTGTAATATGGCAGAAGAAAGGAACCGTGGACCATCGTCCCAATTGTCATGCACCTTATCCCTCAATTAACACCTTAACATGACGACCCGCACGCCTATAAATTGAATTATCTTGAAGGTGTTAGTTACCACAGCATTATTAGTCGAGGTGGTAAGAGTGGTGACATGTATAATGAATTTATAGTGAAATAATTTATGCGTGCATGAAATTTAACCCCATAGATATGATGTAGCAAATAACTAACTGAGCTAACATACAAGCCAGGTTGTCATCACCAATTCATAATAATATTAGCAGACAATGCCGCGCAAAGTTCAAATTGCGCCAAATGATCTGAAGAAGAGTGCATTCTGCTTGACAATCGTGTGTATGGATTCAGGATGGAGATCAAGATCGAACAAACTGGCAATATTTTGATGGCTGGTTATTAAAGAATAAAGATTAAAGATTAATGCGAAGTATTTTCAATCAGTAAGGTTAGGTATTAAATAGTCAAAAAGCTATATATAGCCTATAGGTATTGCAGCACGCATCAGTTATTATTTCTTTAGTATACAGTATGCAAGATACCACGGCTTTCAAGCAGGGCTATCACAACCGCGAGTTGATTGTCCTATATTCGTTATTTAATATAGCTACTCATTTCTATATTTTGATACAAGGTAGCACAAGACAAATAATATTTATTTACATATATATACCGGGTGGCGCAAAAAAAGTTCAGGCGTTTGATCTACCATAGGGAAAAAACTATAAGAGCTATACGTCGCTCAAATAAATGTAGCTGTATTCATAAAAGGATAACTTAAATTTTGATAGGTTATACATGAGATATCACGAAATATTGACTGTGATATCAGCGTTTAAATTAAACTTGCGTAAGCATTTTCAAAAGAATCGAAAATTAGTCTAAAATGGCCCATTGAACTAAATTTAATATCATTCTCATTAGACATTACGCTGGGCATCCCCAGATTATTTCCCGGGCGAGCTAGTGATGAGTAAACGCGGAGATGAGCCGTACCCCTGGCTTTCAGATTTGACAATAACCAATTTTTTGTGACTATACCTGTAGAGTATAGTTGAAATATCAAATTTGGAGTATGCCACATCGACAGCGCTAGGTTTTGGAATAATATCTAGAATACTTTTAGTGAAAACTCTTGTGTCAGAAAGATGTCCCATCTTTCGCTGACAGGTTATGAAGATGTCCCATCTTTTCTTAACCAGTGGAAGCTTAAAAGGAGTCTATAATATTATTCTTTACACCACGCTAAGTTAGAGTAAAGCGCGCATGCAGCGATAGCGGTAAGTTTTGGAATAATATCCAGAATACTTTTAGTGAAAACTCTTGTGTCAGAAAGATGTCCCATCTTTTGCTGACAGGTTATGAAGATGTCCCATCTTTTCTTAACCAGCGGAAGCTTAAAAGGAGTCTATAATATTATTCTTTACATCACGCTAAGTTAGAGTAAAGCGGCGCATGCAGCGATAGCGCTAGGGTTTGGAATAATATCTAGAATACTTTTAGTGAAAACTCTTGTGTCAGAAAGATGTCCCATCTTTTGCTGACAGGTTATGAAGATGTCCCATCTTTTCTTAACCAGCGGAAGCTTACAAGGAGTCTATAATATTATTCTTTACACCACGCTAAGTTAGAGTAAAGCGGCGCATGCAGCGATAGCGCTATAGGTTTTGGAATAATATCCGGAATACTTTTAGTGAAAACGTTTGTGTCAGAAAGATGTCCCATCTTTTGCTGACAGGTTATGAAGATGTCCCATCTTTTCTTAACCAGTGGAAGCTTAAAAGGAGTCTTATATTATTCTTTACATCAGGCTAAGTTAGAGTAAGGCGATGCAGCTTGCGCTATAGGTTTTGGAATAATATCTAGAATACTTTTAGTGAAAACTCTTGTGTCAGAAAGATGTCCCATCTTTTGCTGACAGGTTATGAAGATGTCCCATCTTTTCTTAACCAGTGGAAGCTTAAAAGGAGTCTTATATTATTCTTTACATCACACTAAGTTAGAGTAAGGCGATGCAGCTTGTGCTATAGGTTTTGGAATAATATCTAGAATACTTTTAGTGAAAACTCTTGTGTCAGAAAGATGTCCCATCTTTTGCTGACAGGTTATGAAGATGTCCCATCTTTTCTTAACCAGTGGAAGCTTAAAAGGAGTCTTATATTATTCTTTACATCACGCTAAGGTAGAGTAAAACGGTGCATGGCTGCATGCAGCGATAGCGCTAGGTTTGGGAATAATATCTAGAATACTTTTAGTGGAAACTCTTGTGTCAGAAAGATGTCCCATCTTTTGCTGATAGGTTATGAAGATGTCCCATCTTTTCTTAACCAGTGGAAGCTTAAAAGGAGTCTTATATTCTTTGCCTCACAACGCAGGCGTAGATTCCGTAGATTAGCTATAAGACAATGGTGTCAATGCAGCTATTGTTTTTGGAATAATATATACATTTGATATATACGTTGGTGAAAACGTTTGTACCAGATTCATGTGCGCACTAGGGCCTATAGGGAAAGGCGGTATAATTATATAACTTTATAAGTCAGTTTCTTTATTATTAGCCATAGAAAACTTACGCCTTTGAAGCCGGACTTTTTATACTGCCAAGATCTAAAACGGCAAATATGTTCCGCGGTCTTGACATGGAATTATCGTGCTATTCTCTAAGATACCAAGAACGTTTTGTTTCACAACACACAAGTCTTAATATTATTACATATTATACGCAGCCTAATTATTACACATTGTACGCTATATAGTATGGGAAACGACAAAACGCGGACCCCAGGTCCGTGGACCACCTTCGTGGACCTGGTCCATGGACTACACTCGTGGACCGCGGACCACTCCCGTGGACAAACTCTTGTGGACTACTTGCGAGACACCAGAGTTTTGGGGTTTGAATTCGATCTTGAATGTGCATGGAAAAATCTGCTCGAGTCGAGTTCAGTCATTATTATCATTGTGGAAACTCTACACAAAATGTGAAGTTCTAAATCCATTCACTATATGACCGTTCTAAAATATAAGTGTACAATTACGACTTTAATGCAAAGTTTCCGAATATATGCCCTTAAAATTGGTCGTTTTTTTCGATCGCTACAGAAAATGCAAGAAATGCAGTAATCGAGCTTCAAAAATAAATATTTTTGAGAGAGGACCTTCAGGCATTGAAAGGTCATTGCAACTTATGACTTCTACAGTTCAAGTGATTTTTAACAGTAAAATTCGAATAATTCAGTAAAATCCTTTGACTACCCCCCCCCCCCCACAGATTCTCCACAGTATTCCTATATTTTTTTATGAACCCTGACTACATTTTTTCAGCATTTTTACAGACTTAGTATTCATTGTTCATCAACAAAAACTGATTTGATTGTGAAATAAATAATGGAAAATGAATAATGAAATAGTTCCCGCCAATCTCGGCTTCGTAAACTCGGGTTAATAGTGCTTGGTCTATTGTTCGGTAGGCGAAATTTTGCAAGTGGTCCACGAGAGTGGTCCACAGGAGTGGTCCGTGGTCCACGAGTGTAGTCCATGGACCAGGTCCACGAAGGTAGTCCATGGACCTGGGGTCCGCGTTTTGTCGTTTCCCCTTGCCGTGATTCACATCCAAGTGATTCAAGTTTAATATAAAAGAAACGAAACGTTGCGTTGAGTTACTTGTCAGTTCAAAATATAAACGAATTAATCCTGACAATTGCGTATAATACACGCAGATTGCAAACGTCAGGAGCTACAGTAATAATAATAATAATAAAACTTTATTTAATGAGGGATTACATTGATTACTTAATATAGTATTCTTCCCAATGGCCCTCGATATCTAATAGTGATATATAAAAAGAAAATCCTATTGAGAGTTACAATGACAATGAGTAATATGCTTACAATCGATGCAGCGGAATTTATTAACGTGATCTACTTCATAATTCAAATGAATAAAGTAGGTTTTGAGCTTCTTTTTATAGGAATAAATTGAGTGATTTTCAATATCTTTTAATTCGGAAGGTAAAGAATTAATTAAACTTGCACCACTGAAGGAAATTTTGGATTTTGTTTGCGTGGTCTTAACTGATGGAACTTTTAAGTCTGCAATAGACGATCTAGTTGGAATTGGATGAGAGTCGCGAACAAAGACAAACAATTTACGAAGATCTGGCGGCCAAGATGTTTTTAAAGTATTGAATCATGTACAGAAAGAACTCAAGGCTTTCCTGTATCTTGTTTGAAGGTTTGAACTCATTGGATTGTTTACGTACCTTTATATATCTAGCGAACTGTCCTTGATACTTGATAGTTTTCTGAAATATTAAACAAGGCGTACGGCGCCATCTTGGACGCCGTCGGGATATAATCGGAAGCGAATCGGAACGCATTCGTAAACATTGCGTAATAGCGAAATGAGTAACGAAAATACGGAAATTTGTCGCGAAAGTTTATGCGAAAATGCTGAAATCGTCGAAGGAGCAAAAAATACCGACAAAACGGAAGATTTACAGAAATTACCACCAGATCGCGACGTGGTCATGCGTTTACAAGATCAATTTCACATTGCTTCTAAAATTTGGAGGAAAGAAATGAATGACTTGAGGTATAAACTCGTGAATGAGAGGAACATCAGCTCACTCGAGCCTTGTCGGAATGCATGAAAGAACTAACATCGGCTCAAGATGCACTTGAAAATATCTTGGAATCAGCTGTAGAAAGAATGACCTTATTCACTAAATTTGAGAACACAAGTCGTGAGACGAACGCCATTCTCAAGGAAGTTAACGAGGTAATTTACGAATTAAAGATGGTTAATGATGATCGGTCATCGGTTAGTTCTTCCAGACGAAGTAAAAAATCCTCAAGAAGTAAGTCCTCTCGTTCAACCACAGCAAGCACAACTTCAACGGCGCGACAACGTCGACTCAACTTAGAAGAAGAATTAGCTACTTTAAAGGCCAAGATGCATATGGCTGGAAGGAAGGAAGAGTTAGACGAAGCCAATTGAAAGGCTTTAGAAAACCTTGACGAGTTAAGGCTTCAACTTCAGAAAGAAGAAACGAGAGTGAAGGAAGAAATACAGAACGCCACGAAGAGATTCCAAATTGCAGAAGAACTAGCAGAAAAGAAGGCAAGAATTGATGCCTGCAAAAAATTCGAAGAAGAGTTCGCACCACTACCTTTGGTAGACAGCGATGAGGAAAGTTGTGCCCAAGAACGCCTCGCAAGATTTCTAGGGCTCCAACCGGACATGCCAAATGCTGATAACTATGTACGGGAAAACACAACTGCTGCCGAGTCCACGCCACCAAAGGACCCGAAATTAACGCCAGAGTTATGCCCATTAAATCCGTCTACTCCTGAATTTGTCTCTAATGCTGTGCCTTCCATCCCCACAAACCAGCAGGACACTATACCTCCCGTGATCGAGAAAATTGTAACCAACCCTGTCCCCAACGAACCTAGCCTTGTTCAAGCTCAACTTGACGTAATTTCAAAATTATTAGAAGTTCAGAATCAAAATCGTCTACCATTGCCCGAACCTGGAATCTTCAATGGCGATCCCCTCCAATTTCCAATTTGGCTAAAGGCATTCGAGACACTGATCGAAGGTCGAGCAATAAATCCTGCGGAAAGACTCCACTTCCTAGGCAAGTACGTCCCAGTGAGGCGAAGGAACTGATTAAAGGATTCATGCTCTTAGACGGTGAAGATGCCTATCGAAAGGCAAAAGAAATGTTGTCGAAGCGTTTTGGTGATTCATTTGCTGTTGCAGCTGCCTTTCGACGGAAGCTCGACACTTGGCCGCAAATATCCCCGAATGACGTACAGGGATTAAGAAATTACGCGGACTTTCTAGTTCAGTGCGAGAAAGCGATGGAAAAGATTAGTAGCCTGAAGGTCCTGGATGATGATAAAGAAAATCACAAGTTAGCATCTAAGTTACCAAGATGGACATTGGTCAGATGGGGAAGACGAGTCTACGATTGGAAAGAAAAGAACCACAATTTCCCCCCGTTCTCCGAGTTCGTGAAATATCTCGTGACCGAGTCCAATATAGCTTGCGATCCAGTTATCAGCCGTTTTAAGGAAGACGACTCTAAGAAAGCGAAGGGTCGACCGTACGAAATACCGAATCGCAGGAATCGTCCGAATCGAGATGAATTTCGCAGTCGAAACACATGCACTCACAACACGATCAGAAGGAGGAGATCAGAGCAAGGAAAGACCTAACGGCGAAGCAAAGCAGACCACCTGCATACTGTGTAATGGACCTCGTGAACTGAACTCGTGTCAGTCGTTTTGCGCAAAGGATATAATAGATAGAAAGGAATACGCGAAAGAAAAGGGTCTTTGCTTTGGCTGCTTAACGCAAGGACACATATCTAAACACTGCAAAACTTGAAGAAAAGCTTGTACAACGTGCAAGAAGTCGCATCCAACATCCCTCCATGGAGATCTTAGGAAACCCGAGAACAATCAGAATTCCCAATCCCCTGAAAATGCCGCTACGACCAACTGCACAAAGACTTGTTTTATGAACGACGGTAACGAGCATCAAATCAGTTCGATGATTGTACCCGTGTGGATTAGTCACGAGCATAATCCCGAGTTAGAGAAACTTACCTACGCGCTGCTGGATGATCAGTCTGATACAACCTTTGTTTCGCAGGAAACATTAAACCATCTTAACGTCAGTGGACCGAAGACACAGCTATCCTTGTCGACTATGCACGCGGAGAACGAATTGCTACCCAGTCAAAGGATCAAGGGACTAAAAATCAGTGATGTCATGCATACAGTAGCAAGGTTATTCAACTTCCCACGAGTTTTTCCTGCATCGCAATACCAGCAAGACGTCAACAAATCCCCTGTCCCGAAATGGCTAAGAAGTGGCCCCATCTCAGAGACATTGTCTCACATCTGATACATCCTCAGAACGATATCGAAGTAGGACTTTTGATTGGTTCGAACTGCCCTCAAGCAATAATACCGCGCGAAGTTATTCCCGGTCAGCAAAATGAACCCTACGCGCAAAGATCTGATTTGGGCTGGGGAATAATCGGCAATGTTACCAAGCCCACCGAAAACAACGATGAAAGTTCAGTAGCCATCGTTCACCGAGTAACCACGCGTAACCCCACAAGCACCAACACGCCACAGCAGAAGAGTTGTTATTTTGCCATTAAGCCAACCGTGAAGGAAGTTATTAATCCTGCTCAGTTGTGCCAAATGTTAGAGTTGGACTTTTCCGAAAGAAGAAATTCTGAGCCATCAATGTCACAGGACGATAGGAAATTCCTATCTAAGATGGATCAAGGTGCGTATCAAGAAGAAGGTGG